ACCGCGGCCAGTGGGGGGCCGTGATCGACCGAACCTGAGGCGTCAGCAGGTAAATAAACTGGCCGGCCCGCTAGGGTGCTTACCCTGGCGAGCCGTGTGCCGAACGTTGCCGACCCCTGCTTTATGCAAAAGGTCTCTGGTAAGGTATCATTACAAAGGTTATAACCTACTGAATATATTCATCCTATTTGTATGAATGTATCATTCTTGTATCTGAAGCTAGAAAAATGAAGTGTAACTCTGGGGTCCTATTGTAATTATGCAAAATGTTGGCCATGAATGGTAGTTTAAAATCTTGATGGCTCCCATTGACTAGGACAATTGGTTGTAAATGGCTGTTTATTTGCAAACCTTCCAGGGTACGTGTGGGCCAGCCCTTTAGAAAATGGAGACTGGGGTCTCACAGGACATGTGAACACGTCACATGATACTGGAACCCATCTTAAACCTGGTGCTTTTCCATTTAGAAGGCGGGGTGAGGACCCAGAGAGACAAAGGATTCCCGCCTTATGCCAAAGCTATAAAGGGGGGTGGAGCAGAACAAGGGTGGTCCCAGTCATGAGAAAGCCCTTGCTTTTCAACTAAAATGCCTGCTGGAACTAATGGGGACTGTACCAGGGGAAAGGACTGGGCCCTGACTAGGAAGGAGTCTAGTCTGTGAAAGAAGCTTATTGGAACATCTCTGAGGGTGAGATTTACTTGGGTGTATGCAAATTCCTAATATGCACACCAATGGGCCAGGTCCTTCAATCCATTAGAGTTGCTTTTTGTGAGTCTCCCAGGGCAAAGGTACCCTAATGCCAGAGAATATGGCCAGCGGAGGATTCTCCCTGTACTGGGGAATCATCAGATAGTATAAACGTGCTGTAGTGACTCCTTTGCCAGTCCCTCCAGCTTCCAGTTTAGGGGGGTTGCATCCAAGGAAAAGGGGACATGTCTGGGCCATCCTTACACTTCAGAAATTTCCAGATGATGGATTTATCCTTGGGGGATGGGGGGGGGGTGTCACTGGCAGCTGGTACAACCCAGTACATATGTATTACAGACAGCAGTGGTGCAAAGATGGTACACGGGGGGGGGGGGGAGGAGGGGATTAGTTCAAGGATTCAGTCACAGGGCCAAAAAAAAAAGGAAATGAAAATAAGATAGATGTGTATAAAATAGGATGAGAAACCCTACTTTTCCCCCTAGGGCACGTTAGTGGGGGTTGGGAAGCCTAACAAATATAGTAGGATCATTTCTCAGCCCATCAGGCACAAATGCCAACCTGGGATTGATGGTTATTTACATATGCTCACTGGCAAAATTTTGTTTACTGCACAACTCAGAAACCAATATTTGACTTGCAGGTGTAGCTGGACTCTCAGTCATATTGACTGAAGCTAGCTCGTCCCTTGGATCACATGTAAGGAACCTTTGGCTAGTCACATATAAACCCCATGCTAATCACCGGGGCTCAAACCCAGGAACATAAGCACCGAAACACGAACTTCAGCTATCTCTGCTAAAGGAGAATTCCTGCAACTGTGAGCACTAGGGCAAGTCATAAGAGGGTGATATAATTGCATGCACTAAGGCAATGTATTACCAACTGGACACCCGTAAAATGCCCCATCCAGAGACAGTTATCAGCAATTCATTACATGCACAAGCATCAGAATTGTTGCCTTCATTATCTGGCTTTTCCCCCACAACCTGAACTAAAAGAAAATGAATACCTATGCATGACTTACCAGTTGCATTCTGGGGGGACTAGTTTGTTGAGCTCTTCCAAAGATTTTTCAGAGCGATACTCCTTATGAGAGAGCAGCATAAAACTAAGTTACAAAAGCAGGATTACTCCAAATGGGCCATAAACTGAGATGCAGAGCTCTGCTGCAAAGTTAAGGATTCTTAGGACATACCTGAATGAAGGCCACTGTAACCACAATTAGTACTGCCTAAGGAGAAAGAGGTATTAAATTCATAGGCATATTAACTGCAGCTAATGCAGTGCTTGCATTACAGGTGATTCTGAGATTCTAAGGCCAGAAGGGACCACTGTGAGCATCTAAGTCTGACCAAAAGCCATAGAACTTCCCCAAAATAATTCCCAGAGCAGCTGTTTTAGAAAAAACATCCAATCTTAATTTAAAAATTGCCAATGATGGAGAATCCTCCATAAACCTGATCCACTGATTAATTGCGCTCACTGTTAAAACGGTACGCCTTATTTCCTGTCTGAATTTGTCTAGCTTCAATTTCCAGGTGATTCCACTTTCAGGTGAATAACTTACCACTGCAATACTCACAGCATCCTCATATTCTTTAGTAATTACACTTACTAAAGCAGAAGCCAGCAGCAATAGAATGAGTGGATTCTTAAACTAAAAATAAATAAATAAATAAAATCAGAGATTTTGGTTCAAAAAAACATTTTATTTTAAAAAAATAAGACTCATTAGTTCCCTGTTAATGACACATTTTAATGATGGACTTCTTTACAAATAAGAAGAAACATGTAATTGAGATAAAGAATTCCTTTAATTAGTGCTACTGCGTCATTCTTGCAAATCAATAGGAACTGTTGGATGCTCGGGTCTTTTGAAAATCTGGCCACTTATTTAGGGATCTAAATATGGATTAAATCTTGACCTCACTTAGTAACCACTGGAAGCGATGTAATTGAGTTAAGTAAGATAAAGAAAAGAAACTCTTCCCGCCCCCCATGGGTTATGAAGATACACCTTAGAGGAAGTCAATCGTGAAACTCAAGTCCTTAGTTCCCATTCTTAACAAAAGATTGGGCATAGATGCATAAAATACAGTAAGTGAAAGGAGCCAGGCCATTGTGAAATTTAAAAATGCATGTTACGGGTCATTCAAATTTATGAGTGTGAATTGTGTACTCCAACAAGTAACACTTTCAAGGAGACTGAAGGGTTGTTAGAGAGCATGACAGTACTAAAAAATCCATTCTGTACCCTCAAAAGAAAATCCCTTGTTAAAAGGGTCAAGCAGGTGAGGGGCAAAGCACCAATGTGTCATTTTTAATTAGGTGCAAAGAATGCTTTAGAAACAAGCTTAGAAAATTTACTTATGGTTATATGAAGCTGCTTAAAGGACACTGAATAAGTAGGAGGGGGGGTGAAATCAGTGAAACAAAAATGAACCCTTAAATAAAATAAACAAAATTTACAATCCTTAGGATCCATCTAAAGTGAAGCCAAAGACAAAACTGATTAGTAAGAAAAATCAAAACAATAAATCTCTATCAAAAAATAATCCCAGTTCTGGTAAAAGCTCCAAGGCACAGACGAAAGTTACATTCAGCTTGTGAGATCCGTTAATACACACGAGATTCCATGTGCACCTAATGAAGGATAACTCAGCCTAGGAAGAATAAGATTAAAGACACCACCCCTATAGTTTGTTTCTTGCATTATTTGAATCACTCGATCTTCAAAGTGATATCGCAATATTGCATTTATTACACTAGCACAAGAGCTGAAATTAACTTTCATCTGAGCTTTAAACTTCATCCTTTCTTGCTGAAGATTTAGTGCTCATCAGTTTCATTCACTGAAATGTGTCGTAACTGAAATCAGAATATGTCCCTGTTATCACTTTCTTTATACAACCTGTCATTCTTTTATCACTGGCCTGAGAAGGAAATGGATATTGTTATTCAATAACAATATTGTTATTGTTTTGCAGCTGGTGCAAAGAATGATAAGGCTCTTGATTTATACACAGCGTACAGCCTCTTAAGAAAAGGGTGGATCTTTAAATCTATCTCCATGTAATACAAATATGGACCATGATCTTGCAATGATTTCCCCCCAGGCTCAGTGGGTCCCTGGGTCTCTATGAAGAGCTCATTGCTGGATTGGGGCTGTGAAAGTGAAATGAATTATATTAAAGAAATAGAATAAATTAAAGAATCCTGTATGTACCTTTAAGTAGAAATGAGAAATGCTGCAATCCAGGTGTCAGGAAAGCAGACGTTAACTGTTAATCAATTGCTCCATGTAAGGGTGATTGGTGAAGCATTAGCCTTAGATCGATAAGAGTTAATAAGGAAGCAGGATATGCATATTGTGCCCCAGGCAAATTTTACCATTTTGCTCTCTCTGTCCCTTTGTTTAGTTTGCACCCTTTTATCTGTATAAATAAGACTGTTTGAATCTTGCATGGTGCTCACATTAGCTGAGTGTTATTAGCAGAGCGCTGTGCTAATAAAACAGAGTGGTCTGACAAACTGAGTCCTGAGTTGAACTTTGACAGGGCCATAGAAAGCCATACAATTTCTAATATACGGAAGTGCTCAGATCCAATCAGAACAGATTTTCTCACTGTTGAGTACTACTGCATACCACAGAAATTTGAAATCGCCTTTTAATGGGCTGCACCATAGCTACACATGTAATCCTTACCTGGTCTAGATATTTCTTCCATATTGGTTCTGTATTATCTACTATAAACTCATTCCAGCCATGTGTTATTCTGCGTTGTAGCACAGAAAATTCCGAGAGTCCAGTTTGTAAATCAACCTGGCGAGAGATTAAAATCAGTGTAAAATGATCCAGGAAAACTGCATCATACAATCAAGCTGCATTCAAAATAATAAATAAATTTGGCCAGAAGTTCAGGTCTAATATTTGACCAAGTCTTACAGCTTTCATTTATCTGTGTGGGGTGTACAACACTGACCAAATATCCAGAACGATCAGACATGAAAAACAACAATAAAAGAGAACCACTGCTTTTGTACCAACCACAAATCTTTGGAAGCTACTATCATAGATCCAGCAGAGGGAGTACAAATTCATTAACAAATCCTATTTCCAGTAAGGTGACCAGACAGCAAGTGTGAAAAATCAGGATGGGGTCGGGGGTAATAGGAGCCCATACAAAAAAAAGCCCCAAATATCGGGAACGTCCCTATCAAATCGGGACATCTGGTCACCCTAATTTCCAGATTTGTGATGCCATTTGATGAATGACAAAATTAAAATCAACTAAGAAAATAACTAACTTCTAGGTTCAGTAGAAACACAAGAAAAAATAGTCAATGTTTTGCCAAATAAAAAAAAGAACAAACAAACATGGAAATAAATTGTGTCTGCAAGTTTGAGAGATGGCAGCAGTGGAGAACAAACTAAACATTAAAAACTAGATAAAATACTCAGTACTACAATATTCCCTGGTCCCTAGCTTTAGCAGATCAGCATTTCCTAGATTTCTATCCTCCAGCATATTCTTTCCATACATATATGATCATGTATATATATTCCTTACATCATATTATTCGTTTTTCCTCATTGCAAACTGTAATATAAATTGAGTATTTAAAATATTCCTCCAGAGGCAGAATGCAATCCAATGTTCCTTCCAGGGAGGTGTGTATGTGTGCTTTCCCCCACATCATCTCTTACACATGGCTATGTGTAAATCACATGATCCAGGCCCAGTGATAGCCCTATGTGATGTTTCAGGGACTCATCTATGGTTCTAGAGCCATGATATGAATATCATTGATTTAGATGCTAGGAATGCTGTGGGACTAAGGGAAGAAAATGGGGCCATATGAGTGTAAACTGGGTATAAACTGGACATGAATTAATTTAGGCTGGAAATCAGAAGGTAGTTCCTAACCATCATGGAGCAGCTCCCAGTAGGAATAGTGGGGGCAAACCACCTAACAAGTTTTAAGATGGAGCTTGATAAATTTATGAAAGGGATTACATGACAGGGTTGCTTGCAATAACAAGGGACTGGACTTGATGACCCAGCAGGTCCCTTCCAGTCCTGTGTCCTACATACACTAAGATTTTATGACAAATTTGCTTGAACTGAGCTGGGACAGAGTGTCACACCTGAAGAGCTGTGCATCTTGCATGTAAGTTTGCAGAACTGTGGTAAATCCTCTACCCATTGGTGATGGACCAAGAGCAGTTAGTTGTCTGTGCTGTGCTGTGTGTCATTTGCGGTTCAGAAGTTCACTTAACTCACCATCATCACTGATCAGAACAAAGTCAATCAATTATTCAACTGTTAAGTCTCAGAAAGCCACCCAAATGAAAAGGACAGATCTGAACCCCACCAGATGCATGAGGAAGTTTGCATCTACAACTAGACATGAATTTCACAGGTTGGTCCCCTCTCTGAGTAAAATAATGTGGGATATTTGGGTGAGTCTGTATTTCCACAAAGTGCGGTTATCCATTATGTAATGAGCCTTACATGTAAACTTTTTGCCAAGTCTTCTTTATGGCATTTGCAAGCTTCTTTGGGGGGCAGAGCGGTCACTTCTTTCTCTTGTTCAATTGCTGTCAGCGCCTGTTCTTCATCTCTCTGAGTAATACAGATAAAGCAACTGTTAGGGAAGAAGAACTTAGCTAGTACAGTCATTTCATTAGTTTTTTGGTTCCTCCCTTTATCTGGCCTCTCTCTTTCCTTATCCTTCAGTCATGGAGATCTTCACACTTATCTAACAGTTAAATAATTAACCCTTGCAACCCCTCTCCCCCTCCTGTGGCAGGTACATATTATCAATCTCTGTTTTACAGATGGG